AATATAAAAGGACCCCATTTACCGGGTTAAAATATTGATTTCTTGTTTATACCTTCTCCCACATGTCCAATTGTCAAATAATCCTAAAATAAAGAAATGGCTTCTGGGCTAACATCAAATCCAGGGTGTCCAGAAAACATGTTCGAAGGATGAAGTCAAAACTCATAAACTCTTAAGACCGTAGAAACATTTACGTGGTGCCTCAAAGGATTTTCAGAATGTAAGAATTTTAACGGCACTGTTCTATATCACCTCCAGGAAGCCCAGGTGAAGAGCTGATCTGAAAACAAGTGGTGAGGTGGCTTTTCTGATGCCATGGACCCCAATAAAATTAACTGGACAGACACTCAAAGTTCCTCAGAGAATGCTAGCTTGGCCTCCTGAAGGGAGACCGAGACAGTACACAATCAAAAGGGCCTCTGGGCCTTAGATGTTCCACAGGGAGGACGCAGGCTGCAAAAAGAGCTGCAAGCACAGGCCATTTCTTATGAAAAGGACAGAGCAAAGTCTCAGAGGGAATAGCCAAGGGCCACAGAGAAGCACTCCAAGGTCAGGACTAAGCTTTCCTTTCCTCAGTGAGGAAACAGAGAGGATTATGAAATCATTTTAAATCTCAGGGGCAAAACAACAGCAATGCCTTTTGGCACCATTTAAATACAATTTCTCTAGCTTACTTCAAGCCTGCTTCTATGTTATACCACAGTGTTTCTCCATAGGAAACAAATTGGCTTTAAATTTGAGATTTCAGCCCTCGCTGGTTTGGGTAAGTAGATAGAGCACAGCCTGCAGACTGAAGGGTCATGGGTTCCATTCAGGTAAGGGCACATTCCTGGGTTGTGGGCTCAATCCCCAGAAGGGGGCATTTAGGAGACAGCCCATCAATGATTCTCATCACTGATGTCTCTCTCCCTCTCTCTCTCTCCCTCTCTCTCTCCCCCCTTCCTCTCTAAAAACAAGTGGTGAGGTGGCTTTTCTAATGCCATGAACCCCAATAAAATTAATATATATATATATATATATATATATATATATATATATATATATACTCCGGGGGAAGTGGGTGTCCCTCAGTGCACTCCGGGGGAAGTGGGTGTCCCTCAGCCTGGCCTGTGTCCTCTCACAGTCTGGGACCCCTCGGTAGATAACGACCTGCTGATTTAGGCATGCTCCCGGGTGGTCAGGCTCAGAGCAGGGCCGATTGGGGAGTTGAGGCTCTGCCCCGTCATGCACAGAGCAGGGCGGATTGGGAGGTTGCGATGCCACCCTCAGTCATGCTCAGGATAGGGCCGATTGGGGGGTTGGGGCACTGCCCCCTGTCACACTCAAGGCAGGGTCGATGGAGAAGTTACGGAGCCACCCCCTGTCACGCACAGAGCAGGGCCGATCAGGGGGTTGGGGCGCTGCCCCCTGTCACTCACAGAGCAGGGTCGATCAGGGGGTTGGGGAGCTCCCCCCTGTCACGCACAGAGCAGGGCTGATCAGGGGGTTGAGGAACTCCCCCCTTTCATGCACAGAGCATGGCCGATTAGGCGGTTGAGGAGCTCCCCCCTGTCACGCACAGAGTAGGACCAATAGGGGAGCTGGGGCACCGCCCCCTGTCACAGAGCAGGGCGGTTCAGGGGGTTGGGGCGCTGCACCCTGTCACACTCAGGGCAGGGCCGATGGGGAGGTTATGGCTCTACCCCGTTACACACAGAGCAAGGCCCATGAAGCGGGGTTGGGGTGCCATCCTCTATCACCCACAGAGCAGGGCCGATCAGGGGTTTGGGGCACCGCCACTGTCACACTCAAGGCGGGGCTGATGGGGAGTGTATGGCTCTACCCTGTCACACACAGAGCAGGGCCAATGGGCGGGGCGGGGGGTTGGGGCGCTGCACCCTGTCACACACAGAGCCGCAGGGCGATCAGTGGTTTGGGGAGCTCCCCACTGTCAGGCACAGAGCAGGGCTGATCAGGGGTTTGGGGCGCCTTCCCCTGTCATGAACAGAGCAGGTCAGATATGGAGGTTGTGGCCCCGCCCCCTGTCACAGAGCCACAGGGCGATCAGGGGTTTTGGCGCTGCCCCCTGTCATGTTGATCCCGGGGCCTGGATCCTCGGTACTCTGCTGATCCGGTCCCAGGAGGCATATTACCCTTTCGGGGCCAGCAGGTTTGCCCTGAAGGGTGTCCTGGATCAGGGTGGGGGTCCCCACTGGGTGCCTGGCCAGTCTGGCTGAGGGGCTGAGGGCTGTTTTCAGGCTGGCGGGTGACTGAAGCTCCCAACTGCTCCTTTTTTTTCTTATTTTTTTTTCTATTCTGGGCCAGCTTTAGCTCTGAGTCCTCGATGCTGAAAGCCAGTTTCTGACCTTTGTTTTTCCTTCTGTATTTGATACAATGTTGTGGTCTGGCTGGCTGAAGCCAAGCTAACTGAAAGCCGGTTTCTGGGGTTTTGTTTAGATTCTATATTTGCAACATAGTTGCTTAGATTTGCAACTGAGTGGCCGGCAAGTCAGGCGGGGAACATTGCAGTCTGCCATCACTGGAGCAAGCAAGCCTCCCTGTTTGCTTCAGTGCATGGCTGCTGGCCGCCATCTTGGCTGACAGTTAATTTGCATAAGGATATGCTGATTAGCCAATGGGAAGGGTAGAGGTCGTACACTAATTACTATGTTTCTCTTTTATTAGTGTAGATATTTAAAAATAAAATAAAATTTGAAATTTCAAAGTCAGGCATTTCTAAAGAGGAAAGGTGACAGTCCAGATTTTAATCTTCTCCTCCCCAGGTGGTGAAAGCTACTGGCAAGTCTATGAATTATGAGTTAAACACAATGAAAGAAATGGCTAAGTCAGCAGATCCTGTTACTAGGATTTCATGGAAATGGAAGTGAAGTGGGAGGCACTGGGTTAGAGGCTGAAGGTTTAAATGCAGACAAAAAGGAATGGGTGTTAAGCCTACTTTCCCATCATGTCACAGAGTCAGCAAATCATAAGCTGGCCATAAGCTTTATCAAGAAACAAGAAATCTCCATGAAAGTAGAGGTAAAAACATGCCACTACACTGACTTTTTTTTATTACATAAAACAGCTGGTACTATGCAAGATGACTGGGAAAGTTACTCATAAAATTTGATTTGGTACTGGCATAAGGACAGACTTATTCATCAGTGAAGTAGAAGGGAGAAACCAAACCTAAACCCAACTTGTGGCCAACTGCTTTTTGACAAGGGTGCCAAACAATTAAATCAGATATGAATAGTCTTTTTAACAAATTGTCCAGGGACAGCTGGATATCCACATGCAAATGAATAAAATTTGACCTCTACCTCAGACCATACATAAAAGTTAACTTAAAATGTAAAAGCTAAAACTATAAAAGACTTAAGAAGAAAACATAGGTGTATATCTTCATGAGTGGATTTGGCATCGTTTAAATACAATGTCTCCTCTGCCTTACTTCAAGTTTATATGTGAAACCAAAAGACAAAAATAGATTAACTGGACTTCATCAAAATCAAAACCGTCTGTGCTTTGAAAGGCACTATCAGGAAACTGAAAAGGTGAGCTACTGAATGGAAGAAATATTTGAAAATCCTTTATCTAATAAGGGATTTGTATGTAGGACATTTAAAGAACTCTTACAATTCAATAATAAAAAAAATCCAATTAAAAAATGGGCAAAGGAATTGAATAGTTTTTCAAAGAATATATACATGTCAAAAGATGGTGAATATCACTAGTCATTAGAAAATTGTAAATCAAAACCAATAATAAGATGCCACTTCACACCCACTAGGATGGCCGCAATAAAAAAAAAAGCGATGACAAGTGTTGGCAAGAATGTGGAGAAATTGGAACCCTCATGCACCGTCAATTAAATACAAATGGTGCAGCCACTGTGGAAAACAATCAGGCAGTTTCTCAAAAGGTTAAAGATCTGATCAAGCAATTCCATTTATAATTATATTCCCAAGAGAATGAAAACAATATGTTCACATAAAAAGTTGGACATGAATGTTCAAAGCAGTATTAGTAACAACACTAAAAAGTGGAAGTAACCCAAAGGTTCATCAAATGATGAATAGATTTTAAGAAATGTGGTCGCGTCATGCAATGAAATGTTATTCAGCAATAAACAGGAATGAAGTACTGGTAATACGTGCTACAAAAGAGATGTACCTTGAAAACATTATGCTAAATAAAAAAGGCAGTCACAAAGGAGCAGCTACTGTGTGATTCCACTGATATGTAATGTGCAGAACAGACAAATCTAGAGACACTGAGAGGACAGTAGTGGTTCCTGAGGGCCAGGAAGAGCGGGGAAGTGGAAGCTGGCACAGGGTGGTTGGTAAAGGGCACAGGGCTACTTTTTAGGGGGATGAAAATGTCCCCAAACTGACTGTGATGATGACTGTGTAACTCTGTGAACACAGACAAAGGCACTGAACTCTAAATGAGTGAACTGCATGGTATGTTCATTATGACTCAGTAAAGCTGCCACCAAAAGTTTTTTGGACTTGGTGCTGGTGCCAGGGTTCAAGACATAGAGCAGTGGTTCTCAAGCCTCTGGCCCTTTAAATACAGTTCCTCATGTTGTGACCCAACCATAAAATTATTTTCATTGCTACTTCATAACTGTAATGTTGCTACTGTTATGAATCGTAAAGTAAATATCTGATATGCAGAATGGTCTCAGGCGAACCCTGTGTAAGAGTCGTTCGACCGCCAAAGGGGTCGTGACCCACAGGTTGAGAACCACTGACATAGAGAGTTAACAGTAGGCCCTTTTTATACAAAAGTGATAAAGAAAAAGCTGTCTTTTTCACTGATACAAGTCTATAAAATTAACAGAAAAATCTATATTTCACTACTTAAAGCATTGAATGATATCTATTTCCCCAAATTAGGTGAATTTTGGGTCCCAAAACTAATTTAAAATTACCTTCTGTTTTGGCTTTTTAGACTGAATTTCCATGTCAGCTGGACCTGGTTTTGAATCTCCAGGGAAACTAAGCTCTTCATTATCACATTGATGTAATTTCTGTTTTGCAACTTTTAGGAGTTTTTTAAGTCTGAAGAAATGTACAAAACAAATATGTCAAATTCTTTAAGATTAAATATTTAGTTATTAAACAGATATTATGTTTATAAAATCATATAAAATAAACAAATCTATAAATTATGATGCTCTCATTTGTTCTAATCTAATATTTTCTGAAAGCATACTAGCTAAATTATAATCTTCTGTAAATAAAATGAAAAAAGCCATGACATATGTGATATGGGTATATAGTTAATATTGTAACTATATAGAGTCCTTATATTCATTTGACTATGTTAATATAAAACATTAATCTATTATTAAATATCAACTAGAAACCAGAAATCAGTATCCAAGGTGAAAAAGAAAACACAATTACATGTGAATGTTTTGGAAAGACACAAAAATACCTTTTGGTACTTACTGACAATAGTCTACAAGAAGGAAGAAAAGTACCAACATCAAGGAGATCATTCAAAATAGGAGAATCAGGAAAGAAGAATCTTTGAAGTCTGAGTGGAAGGGGAAAGCAGAAAGAGGCAAGGGTTTAGAAGAAGGGAAATCAGAGAGATAATGTGTAACAGTCTCTTCAAGACTGTTTTAAGAAAAGATCTTTGCTAGCACAATGTTAAGAAAGTGAAAGGGTTATAATATAAAGACAGTAAAGTGAGAGGAAACATACTGAGAGAATCAAAGAACAAACTTAAGAATTCAGCCAATAAACAGAAAGGAAGCCATGTGGGGGCTCCCCAGACATAGGAAAAATGCCATTGTGTTTCTATGAGTGATAAACACAGGATTACCCAGCTTCTTCTTTAAATCATACAAACATTTTGTATGTGTGATCTCTTTTATAACTAAAAAAAGAGAAAGCATAGGCCAAATCAAGATAATTATTGGCATTGTTAAACAGTGACACAGATAGGTTTTAGTTATTAAATTACTAGAGGCACAGTGCATGAATTCGTGCACAGGTGGCATCACTCGGCCTGGCCAGTGATTGAGGCTGATTTTGGCCATCTTGCCCAGTCCCAATTGGGGCCAATCGGGGCTGGCCGGCCAAGGGGAGGGACTGTGGGAGGTAGGCCAGCTGCGGGAGGTTGGCCTTGGGAGTGCACTGACCACCAGGGGGCAGCTCCTGCATTGAGCATCTGCCCCTTGGTGGTCAGTGGGTATCATATCAACCAGTGGACCAGTTGTTCAGTCAACCGGTAGTAACAGTCACTTATATATACATTAGTAGCCCGGTACACAAAAATTTGTGCATTCGGGGGTGAGGGTGAGGGCTGGGGCCAGACCCCTCAGCCCGACCTGCATCCTCTGTCATGTTCCGGGACCCTGGACACTCCTGGCTAGGCACAGGCCTACAGGCTTGGGGTGGCCTGGCTCCCGAGGCCCCATTTTATCAAGAGAACAAAGTCAGCGTTAGTTACAGCCCTCACCAAACCCAGTACACTGCATCTGTGCATACATCTGCCTCGTTCATGTGCCTGCTTTGCCTACTGAATTACTAACATCTTGAGGACATAGCTCTGTCTTATCCTGCTTCAAATTTCGGTGCCTGTCCTGGTGCCAAGGACCTGAGAGGTTTGCTGAGTGAGTGAACAATGAGTGAGTGAATGAGTGAATGAATGAGTGAGTAAACGAATGAGCAAGCAGCTCAGGAATTTCTGCTGTGTTGCCATGGCAACAGGGCAGAAGTTCTGGCCCCACTCCCACTCCCGGCTGCCTGAAGTTCCCGCCCTGCCTGGCGCCCCTCTCCTGGCTGCCTAACATCTTGAGAACATAGCTCTTCTTATCCTGCTTCAACTTCAGTGCCTGCCCTGGTACCAGGGACCTGAGAGGGTTTGCTGAGTGAGTGAATGACTGAATGAATGAGCAAGTGAATGAGTGAATGAATGAGCAAGTAAGTGAATGAGCAAGCAACTACCGGTAGCAATAGTTCGCACACCGCTCTGGGCTGCCTGACGCAAACCCTGGGCAGTTCCTGCCCTGCTCACAGGGGCCCCACTCCCCTCTCCCAGTTGCATAGTTTGCGCAGAGCAAAGGCAGTCCGGGTGTGCATGTTGGCAGATCCGTGCATTAGCACCCACCAACCCAGGATCCCCACGGGAGGGCCGTTTCTAGGCATGGCCATTGGCAGATTGGTGGATTAGCACCCGCCAAACCGGGATACCCACGGGAGGGCTGTTGTTGGGTGCAGCCGGTGGCTGATTGGTGCATTAGCACCTGCCAACCTGGGATCCCACGGGAAGGCTGTTTGTGGGCGCTGCTGGTGGCTGATCAGTGCATTAGCACCTGCCAGCCACGGATCCCAGCGCGGGCCATTTGTGGGCGTGTCCAGTGGCAGATCACTGTGGTCCCGCTGGCCAGCCCTGGGTCGGGTCCCATACATTTGTGGGCGTGTCCAGTGGCAGATCACTGTGGTCCCACTGGCCAGCCCTGGGTCGGGTCCCATACGCTCTGCTTGCCACCCGGGTCGCAGATAGCAGGCCTGGATGGCAGCGGGACAGGCAGGATGGTGCTGTCCCGCAAGCCTGTAGTATGCAAATTAGCCGCCATCTTTGTTGGCGGTTAACCGCCATCTTGGTTGGCAGTTAATTTGCATATCACCCAATTTAGCCAATGGGAAGCATGTTGGAGGAATCGTTAATTACCATGCTTGTCTATTATTAGATAGGACTAGAGGCCCGGTGCACAAAAATTTGTGCACTCAAGGGTGGGGGAGCAGGAGTCCCTCAGCCTGGCCTGTGCCCTCTCGCAGTCTGGGACCCTCAGGGATGACCACCTGCTGGCTTAGGCCCGCTCCCCGGGGGATTGGGCCTAAGATGGCAATCAGACATCACTCTGGCAGCCTGGCAGCCCTCGGGGGATGTCCACTTGCCAGCGGGAGCAGACTTAAGCTGTAGTTGGACATCCTTAGCACTGCTGAGGAGGCAGGAGAGGCTCCCACCACCACCGCTGTACTGGCAGCCATCAGCCTGGCTTGTGTCTGAGCAGAGCTCCTCCCATGTGAGAGCACCCTGACCACCAGAGGGAAGCTCCTGCACTAAGCATCTGCTCCCTGGTGGTCAGTATGTGTCACAGTGACCAGTCCCAGTCCTTCTGCTGTTAGGGTCAGTTTGCATATTACCCTGTTACTATATAGGATAGAGGCCTGGTGCATGGGTGGGGGCAGGCTGGTTTGCCCTGAAGGGTGTCCCGAATCAGGGTGGGGGTCCCGCTTGGGTGCCTGGCCAGCCTGGATGAGGGGATGATGGCTGTTTGCAGCTGGTCACACCCCCTTCAGGGTGGGGGTCCCCACTGGGGTGCCTGGCCAGTCTGGGTGAGAGCCTGAGGGCGGTTTTCAGGCTGGCGGGTGACTGAAGCTCCCAACCTCTCCTTTTTTTCTTTTTTTTTTTGATTCTGGGATTTATTTGCCTTCTATGGCTGTCACTGGAACTGAGGGATGGCTTTAGCTCTGAGGCTTGGCTCCAGCTCTGAGACCTCGGCTGCTGAAAGTAGGTATCTGCTTTTGTTTGGCTTATAATTGAAACACTGTTACAGCTCCAGCTCTGAGGACCGGCTGGCTGAAAGCAGGTTTCTGGGCTCTGTTTAGCTTCTATAATTGCAACATAGTTGGTTAGAGTGCAGCTCAGAGGCCGGCAGCAGCAGGTGGGGAACCTTGGCTTCCTCCATCACTGGAGCAAGCCAGCCTCCTGTTCACTTCAGCTGCCTGGCTGCTGGCCACCATCTTGGTTGGCAGTTAATATGCATATCTCGCTGATTAGCCAATGGGAAGGGTAGCGAAGTTGCAGTTAATTACCATGTTTGTCTATTATTAGATAGGATAGATTTGAGTGCAGAAGGGATGCACACTATGAGAAGAAGGGAATATCACCAAAGAGAGCAGATATGTTGCAGAATTAAAAATTCAAGGTAGACATGAAAAGAACAGTTGACAGGATATGCAAAAGGCATCCTCATTATGGTTTTAGAAATCATAAAAAAGTAAGTACAATATCATGTCCTTCAAAGCAGTTTCAGATTGTGGTGTGTGTTTCTCCAGTAAGTTTTTAAATAGGATAATTTAATTATAAAAATTTACAGAGGAAATAAATTTTATTTTATTTTTAATAAAGTAAAATGACAGTTAAATCTTAATTCATGGCAGAAATGTTCTGAAATATTAAAATCTTACCGAGTAATCTCTGTTTCTAAATCACCAATTTCATTTACTTCTTGCTGCAACCTCTGCTGCAGAAATATATTTAAGTCAATATATTTCTTTAACTCTTCTTTTTTGAAAAAAATTAAAGAAAATTATTTTGAAAATTATTTTTAAAAATCTAGAGACTCTTCTTTTTTCTAATGAATTCATGAATATCATGCGTACACAAGTTTATAAATGGTAGTAGACAGGTTTATAAAATCTAGTTTATAAACTTGATGCCAATAGGACAGATTTAAAAAATAATGACTTCTTACAGCAGCTTAAATTGATTTTACATTTTCACCACTTTCTTTATGGAAATTAAATTGCCAAAGTTTGTGAAAACAGAGGTTTTGATATATAAATTACTAAGGGCTAAAATACTTTTTAAGGCTACATTGACCTTTTAGTTTCTAAAGATGCCCTAGAAACATTTTCATCAATAGTTCAAGATATTCCAGGTTCAATTAAATCACATCTTATTAAGGTAATCTTTGAAAGCTTCCCATGCAGTCCCCATTACCTTATGGTGGTAATCTGACTTTAGGATGAGGTAGAATCTCATTCTCTGTAATCTTTCTTCCATAGGTTTCATTTTCTACTTTTCTGTTAAACACTTTCCTCTTTAAATAAAATGTCTTCTCTGTTACATAAAATCATAACTTTTACTTGATTTTTGTAGCTTTTTCTGTCATCCTGTTGTCCCCACCCATTAAATATAACATTTTTTAATGCAAAGGTCTCACCCATATATTCATATTTTCACCACTCAATCTTTTTTCTTTCTTTCTTTCTTTTTTTTTACATAAGAAGCTGACTTTCAATTCTATAATTTCACTAAAATTTTTTGGAGAGTCATCTTCTTTTAGTCCTTTAATGCTTTACTTCTCAGCAGCGACTGATAACAGTGATCATATACACACTGTCCCTCCAGTCCTTCAACTGCACTTCATTTCAAAACAGTAAACATGATGTACAGTCTTCCACTCTGTCTATTGCTTTTTTATTTATTTATTTTTGCTTGGTTTTGGGGGGAAAGAAGTGGTAGCATGTTTATTTTTCTTCACCCTACTGAATGCCATAGACTAGAACTACATTGAGGTTGAAGGGAGATGTAACAAGTTTAAGAAACTCAATACCTGGTTTTACAATTTGATGACCTTTGTTTTGAATACTTAAGCTAAAGATAAGGGCTAGAGATTATGTACTTAGCATAAGAAAATAAGTATATAATCAATACAACAGAAATTATGAGGAATTTCAAAAGGGCAGAAAGATAATAACATCTAACAAAGAATCCCTAAAGACAGAAAGCTGATAGGATCAACTCCCAGACATACACAGAAGAGGAATACTCTGAAGAATAAATTAGGGGAGCTCCAGTCCAGCAGTGGCTAGAGACAGTGGTCACCAAAGACATTAGGGTGTTTTTTCACCTTTTAGTAAAATTTCTAACAAACAAAAGAAGATAGAATATTATATTGGCCCTCCATAGGTTCATCGCCCTGGTCCACAATTTTATTTTTAATATCTTTTCTACCTCACTTCTTTTTTATTTTCTTTCCATCACAATGTATCCCCACTATGGCCTTTTCCATCTCCACCCAACTCCATCACACACCTGGAAATCATCTGTTGTCCATGTACATGAGTTCTCTCTAATTTTTTCTCTTTTTGTTCCATCCCTACACCAAACACCACCACCGCAAGCAGCAGACAAGTACCATATGATTTTGCACATATATGGAATTTAATGAACAAACTGAACTACCAAGCAAAATAGAAACAGACTTCCAGAAAGCAGTCTATTCCCTTCTTAAAATTCTGTCAGAGATACTTCAATCTCAACACTTCAAACCAGAATCCCTAATCAACATTTCTAGCCTTGACCCCTTTACTGAGGTCATCTGTACTTTTCCTTTTCCCTTCTTGCTCCTCATAAACAACATCCTCAACCACACACTCATAAACCATGAGTGACCTGGATCACCCTTTTAGATTGCTAAGCTTGTCTTTATGTTGATTCTTACTGGCGTCACTTTGAGTGTACTACTGTTGTGTTCTGAGTTTGGGGGCACCTTCACCCTTAGGATGTTGACCAGCATTCTCTGTCTTGTTTTTCTTATATAATGCAAATATTATTTTTGCAAGTGGCAGATTATCAATTATTTGCCTTTAAAAATAATAATACATTCTTATTTCATAGAGACCTGACCAATAAAAGTCTTCTGAAGTTCTTTTCACATGTTATCTCAACTATATTGTTTGAAGGCTTGGGAAAGCTAGAGCTATCTTCTTCTTGCCAATGCAGACTCTTTACCTCAACATTGTGTTGATCAAATATCTTGGTTTGAATTCCAAGACTGCCAGTGATATAAAGTATTTAGTTGTATCTTAACAATAGGTAAGCTCAAATGTGTTCAATGTATACACAGATAGGTACACTTGTATCAAATAATATCCCCCACAGACAAATTAACACATACAAAGACAAGATTATATCTTGGGAAGAAAATTAAGACAATGGGGAATTCAGGGCTAAAGCATTCCACACAAATGAGATGACAAGTGCAGAAATGAATGAGGTCAGTGAGAGTTGAAACAGAGAATGCTTCATAGAGGGGAGATTGGGAGCCAGGTCCGAATAGATATAGGATGAGGCAGGAGGGAAAGAAACTGAAAGACAGAATGGACAGCATGAGTAAAGGCTGAGAGGTGCTGAAATCAGCCCAGTTATCTCAGAGGATAAAAATCCCATGACAACGCCCTGACTGGTTTGTCTCAGCAGATAGAGCATCGGCCTGCAGACTGAAATGTCCCAGGTTTGATTCCCGTCAAGGGCATGTGCCTGGGTTGCAGGCACATCCCCAATAGGGGGCGTGCAAGAGGCAGCTGAATCGATGTTTCTCTCTCATGGATGTTTCTAACTCTGTATCCCTCTTCCTTCCTCTCTGTAAAAAATCAATAAAGTATATTTAAAAAAATAAATCCCATGACAAGAGAAAAACCTATGTTCACACAATGACTTGTACAAATAGTACTCATAGTTGAATTACTAACAGCCAAAAAGTGAAAACAATACAAATTTCCATCAATTGATAAATGGGTAAGTGAAAGAGCCACATGATGAAGTATTGTTTGGCAATAAAAAGAAAGAAATAAAATATTGTTATGTTCCATAATGTGGACACACTTTAAAATATGAGATTAAGGTCTATAACTTCTGTGATTGCATATTGCATATATATATGAAATATCCAGAATAAGCTAATCAATAGAGACAGAAATGAGACTGGTTTTTGCAAGGAACTGGTAGTTACTGCTAAGTGGTGTGGAGTTTGTTTCTGGAGTGATAAAAATATTATATAATTGACTGAGGTGATAGATGCACAACTCTCTGAATATGTTTAAAATATTGAATCATATAATTTATACAATGTGTGAATTATATCAATATTTTAAAAATATCCATTAGTGGATCTAGAATTAATTATTTTAGTTGTCATTTGTGGATGTACATATTACAATGATCTGAACATTTCCATGCTTTCATAATATTTCCTAGTGAGAAAAAATGAAAGATATACTTACTTCAACTGGTTTGTAGAATGACCTTCCTGCAGAAAACCCTTCATCTCTTGCTCTCTGGGAAGCAAGTTGTAGGTCTCCTTTTGATGTCTGACAATGCTCATGATCCTGTACAGCGGTAGCCAGTCTAGACCGGTATGATTCAACTTCTGCTTCCAGTCTTCCTCTGTTTTGTTGTTCATTCTCCAGTTTACTGTTTAGCACAGTATTCTCAACTCTCAGAACTTCAAGCTGCTCATTGTGTTGAAATACTGTTTCTCTTATTGTCTTTTGAAGATGGTCATGCTTTTCTTTGAGAAGTGCATTGTCCTCAAAATGTTCTTTTTCCATTTCTTGCTTCTGATTTTTTGCTGTGTCTATTTCCAGTCTCAGCTTGGCATTTTCATCCCACAACATGCAATTTTCATGCAATGGATGTTCTTCTTTTTCAGAACTTTCAGGAACCTAAATAACACAAAGGAGACTTTTAGCTAC